TTATATTTAGGCATGTCTGTATTCTTTGAAATTCATTGTGGTAATTACTATCCTTCACTGACTTCTTAGGTATGCTGGCTGCAACTCTTGCACATCATAGGTCAAAGCCCAGAATTTACATAGGATGCATGAAATCTGGTCCAGTTCTCACTAACAAGTAAATCTTCCTTCTCTTCTCATTTATGCCATATTTTACTATAATTTTTACCAGTTCTCTTACTAGGTTGTACACTACGAGAGTTATTTACTTCCCAATCACTTTTGTGTGTTACACTTTTCCAACTGATTACTTACTTCATAGGAACGTTAAATATCACGAGCCAGAGTTCTGGAAGTTTGGAGAAGAAGGGAACAAGTACTTCCGGCATGCCACTGGCCAAATCTATGCCATCTCAAAAGATCTGGCCACATACATTTCAATCAACCAGTAAGTCTGTATGACTTATAAGATAAATGATAAGATTGTGTGTTTTTAATGGTTTGTTTCATTATTTATAGGCCTATACTCCACAAGTATGCAAATGAAGATGTATCACTTGGTGCATGGTTTATTGGGCTTGAAGTTGAGCATATTGATGAGAGGAACATGTGCTGTGGTACACCACCTGGTATAACTTCTTTTATTCTCTACTTATCTTGTTCTTAGTTGACCAGCCTTATTTTGTACCGTGGTTGGAATTAGAATTTCATAAATAAAATTTTCACATTTCAAATGGAAGCCAATTTGTTGTTTTCACATTGAACCAAAAACCAAACTGATTCTTTGTGATGAACATTTGCAATCCCTGATTGTTGCGAACTTAGGCAACTTTGAAGTAGTAAAGCTATAGGCAGTGAAGTGAATCATATCAATACAAACAAATAATTTGTAAGTCATTTTTATACATAATTCAAGTTTCATCTTGTTAAAATTGCACCTTTTGGTTATCATATTATACTCAGGATCATCCCTACTATCTCAGTTCGACTTTATGAATCATCTGATTGGAAGTACTTGAGTTCGTAAGTAATCTTAAGGGAAATACTTGAGTTCACAAGCAAACCTAGCCAAAATTGGTGAAAATGGTGGGAAATCTTGCTGACTTCAGAGAGAATTCAGCAATATTAGTTCTGGAATTTCAGAAAAACTGGAAAGAAACACAAGGAAACGTCTTATATTCAATTCACGAACAAGAAAATCTATACAAGATACAAGTTTCTTCGATTTGAGAGGAAGAAACAACTCTTCAAATCTCTAGCTATGCTTAGAGCCCAAGAAGAATAAACCTTAGATCTCAAATCTCCTTCAAATTCAAGATGATCCCAAACCCTAGCAAGGAAGATTAATTAAAACAAAAAGAAAATTACATAATCCCTAAACAGCCTCTCATTCAAAAAATCCCTCTCAAACTCAAATTAG